GCGCGTGAGCAGCGCGCGGTGCTCGGCGTCGCGCTTCTCGTCCTCGGCGTTCATGGTCATGAAGCGCAGCACCACGAGGTTGAGGAAGGCGCCGATGACCGTGAGGCCCGTGAGGATGTACACGAAGCTGAAGGCCACGTACTGCGGCTGCGTCTGCAGCGCCTGGTCCTTCTGCAGCGCCACGTAGTCGCCGAAGCCGATGGTGGTGAGCGTGATGAAGCAGTAGTAGTAGGCCTGGAAGAAGGTCCAGTGCTCGTAGTAGGAGAAGGCGGCGGCGCCGATGCACAGCGTGCTGATGCACGAGAAGAAGCCGATGAGCACCATGTTGGCCATGGACACGTCGGCGCGCCGCATGCCCAGGCCCCGCTTGGCGCGGTGCAGCAGGAACTTCACGAAGGTGTTGATGCGCTCGCCCAGGCTCTGGAACATGACCAGCGTGAGCGGGATGCCCAGCAGCGCGTAGAACATGCAGAACACCTTGCCGCCATCCGTGCTGGGCGCCGCGTGCCCGTAGCCTGGGGAAGCAGAGGAAACCAGGTCTAGGGGCTGCGCCCGCAGAAGCGGCCCTCCTCCCCGCGCTGCCTCCCCTCCCCCGACGGACGGCTGGCCTCTCCTCCCTTCTGGCCCAAGGGAAGACGACACACAGTTATGGGCACGTGTCGTCCCCGTTTCTCGTTCGCTCTTGTGACAGCTCCGTAGGGTTGGTAGGAGGGAAGGGAGACGCTGGGAGGGGTAAGTGGCTTTCTCAAGGTCACACTGTTGGAAGCAGAGTGACCTGTGTTTGAGCTGTTTGGCTTCAAAGACCCGGCCCGTTTTCTCCACCTAGAGAAGGAGCTGACTTGTGGGGCTGCTGGGAACTCCATCCAGAGGCTGAGGGATGGTGAGGAGGGTCCTGGCAGGTCAGGTGGGAGATCTGGGTTCTAGTTTCGTGTCTATGGGCTTTGGTCCTGTTCTTTGTCCTCTCTGGACCTCGGTTTCCTTGGCTCTAAGGGGAGAAGGTTGGACTGAATGGCGTCTAACATCGTGTGATTCAGTGTGGAGGGAGGGAAACTGAGGCATGCATGGCTCCTTCATGACTTCCCTTGGAGACTTCCCTCCAGTCTCCCTGAGGCAGCTGGCCACCAGTGTCAGAAGGAGAAAAAAGATGGTGCCTTCCCCCCACTCTCCAGCTAGATGAATTAGTGCTTCAGGGCCTTCATCAGCCCTCAGTCTGGGCCTCAGGTCATCCTCTATGGCTCCAAAGTAGGGTATGTCCCCGTGGGGAAGTGGTATTGCCCTTGTCAAAGCAGTAGCTCTGGGTGTCTTCCCAGGTGTTACTATCACTAGCTAGACAACCCCAACCCCTGTCTCCACCCACCTCACAGGCTCCACCAGCCCTCACAGAGCCAGGAGCCTGGCAGAGGCAAAGTTTCCTGCTGAGCCAACCATCAAGTGGTCTTAAGTCATGAGTTCTGCCTGGATACCTGGAGGGGAAAGGACCCTGGATGGGAACTCCTAGAATACCTAGGCACAAGCTCTGGCCCTGTTACTGGTGGCTGTGCGACCTTGGACAAATTGCTCCCACTCTCTGAACATGTTTCCTCATTTGTAAAATGAGGTCTACTGGTCCTGTCTCTGCTTCCTCCACCTCCTGCCTTGTCCCCCAGGGTCACCAACTACATATATACAGCTAAACACTAGCTTAAGGTGGTAGGGTGGGCACGGCTGGATCTTGTTGTGTTCCTCTTTGGTTTATGCCCAGGGGATATGCCCAAAACACATTTGACGAGGCAGCACAGGATACTGAGTGCTTTGGTGTCTGTTCTGAATTCAAATCTTTACTCTTCCATGGACCGTGTTTTTTTTAAAACCTCTCTGAGTCTTAGTTTCTATATCTGTAAAATGGGGCTAATAAGCAGTACCTGATCACAGGGCTTTGGGGGAGAAATAAGTGAGAAAATGTGTTTAATGCACTTAGCCTAGAGCCTGGTATGTATCAAGTGCTCAATAATAGCTCACTATGATGAATAATGAATGAAATGCCAGGTTGCCCTCACATTTCCAAGAGAGCACCTGGGCTGGGGGTCAGCTTAGTTCCAGTAAAGTGGCATCTCTGTCAGCCCAAGGCCATTTGAGTCTTAAGCTCAGAGAGGTCTGGGGACAGCTGCTTGGTGTATGTGAGGCTGTGGGTTACCCTTAGAGTAAGCTCCCCTACCTCCCCTACCCCAGCATCTAGCTGGTGATTGTGTCACCCTTTGCCAGGGGCCTGGACAGCTGAGCTGGTGAGCCACCATGCCTGGCCTGTCCACATCTCAGCAGAGTGAGAACAGATTGTGCCCGCCAGCTCGGCCATGGCAGCCAGATCACAACTCACCTCGACAGCTGGGCAGGCCCTGAGCCAGAGCTGCTTCTCGCCCTGTCCTTCCCTGTCCCCCAGGCCAGCACCACCAGAGTGTGGGGGAGGGCAAGACACTGTGGATGGGGCTGGATAGGGATTGTGTCTCATGGGCCCAGCCCCAGCTTGACCACATCCTGGCTGTGTGACCTTGGGCAAATCCACCCACGTCTCTGGACCTCTCCTACCTTTCTGCTCTCTGGGGGGTTGAGCTACAGCTGCTAATCCCTGTCCTTGCCACCTGGCAGAGCTGTCTTCAGGGGTAAAGGAGAGACTAGGTGTGAAAGTACTTTGGAACCTGTGGAATCTGTGGCAGAAGCAGCAATGATGGGACCTCACAAGGGAGAGTCAGCCTGAGGGTGCCGTCCTGGAGGTGGGGCAGTGTCTGTGGGGCCAGGCAGCCATATCCCGCTGTCAGAGAGAAGGACCCCTCTGGCCACCACCAGTACCTTGCCCTGTGTTTGTTTATAGGCTGTGACTTCTCCTGGCCTACCACCCTTTAGGATGACCCAGTGCCCACCTGTCTGGCAGCCTCGCTGCCCACTGTGGGCTGCCCACAAAGCCCCCCAGCTTCGGGGGGCTCTCCCGACCTGAAGACAGCGTGCGTACCAGCAGACACGATGGCCACCTTCCCCCGTGCTTCCTCACATGCCCTCTTCCCCGCCTCTGCCTGCCCGGACCCTGAGTGCCCTCATCTCTCCCTCGATTCCAGCCCAAAGTGACAGCTCCTTCCCCTGCATGCCTCCTGTGGAATGCAGTGATTTCCAAAGCAAGTGGCACTTTCAGGCTTAACCAAAGGCTCCTATTGGGCCAGAGCCTCATGCCTCACTCCAGCCACTGTCCTGTCCAGGGTGGCCGCAGCCTGGACATGCCCTGGGCTCAGATACCCCCAGGGCCCACCCTCAGTTCCTACCACAGGCTGAGGCGTACGGTTTTATCTTTCAGGTACATTTTTAACTTTAATTCTCAAAACTTCCTACGAGGTCATTACTCTGACTGTCTCCATTTGATGGAGTAATTAAGGCTGGGGAGGGCTCGTGAGTTGGCCAAGGCCGCTAGGACTTTCTGACTCATCACTCATTCCGATGCCTCAGAGCCAATTCATCACCCAGGAAGGGTGACTAGGGTGGGAAACTGGGGCCCCAGGAGGGGAGCACTCCACTTGGTGCCTCATCCTTAGGCACTGCCCGAGCTGGACATGGCAGAAACAGCAACAGGAGTGCGATGCCCAGCGAATCAGATGCTTCTCCGAGTATCAGCCCGGGGTCAGCATGCCCCTGCCCCTTTGCGTGTTCTACTGTCACCGGGTGAAAGGACAGGGAGCTGTGAGGACCTGCTGACGTGGGCTCCGTGTGGAGGAGTGCCAGCTGGGGTGGAGCCACTCCCAGGGGACCCTGGAAGATCTGGGAAGTAACTGGGAGTTTGGCAAGGCCTGTCTGCCTGCCAGCAGGCCAGCTGCCTGCCTGGTCCTTGCCCACGGCAGGCTTGGGTTTACAAGGGGCAGAAGGGCAAAAGGTGGTCCCCATCTTCTACCTCCTGTCCAGCCCTATGTCTCCTGATGAGGAGCTTCATCTGTCCTTGTGTGTCACTGGTACTCACATAGGCTGCTACCTGGGGCTGATTGTCTGAGAGCCCTCCCTCACAGTATCCAGTGAACTGACCAGTCAGAGCCCATGCCTGGGCCATAAGATGCTGGACCCTCAGAGCACTGACCCTCCCCCTCCTCTCCTGGCCACCCCGCCTGAATTCACCTTTGACTTAAAGGTTCCAAGGGCCAGAGAGGCCCTTAGCGATCATATGGCTCAGTCCTTAAATTGTACAGATGGGGAAATGGAGGCCAGAGAGGAAAAGTGACCTTCTCAAGGCCATACAGCTAGTGAATGGCAGAGCCAGGACTATAACCCAGGATACTCAGTTCTAAACTCAACGCTCTGTCCTCTGCCCTCTGGCTCGGTATGACCAACATTGACCTGTTCATTCAACCAGGGCCCAGCAATCCCTGCGTGGGAGCAGATCAGCTAAGAGATGGTCCCGGAACCTAGCTGGAGGCATGGAATTCACCTGAGGAAGCCAGGTGCCTGGTCATAAAACTTAAGCATGTAGCTAGACTTAAATATTAATTATGAATATTTTGGGGCACAAAAAATGAGAAGTGAGACAGGAACCCCTGGGCCTCAGTTTTTCTGTTATCCTCCCGGCATCACCAGGGAGCTGGCTGAAGCTATGCCTTCCAGGGACATGCAGAGGTTTGGGGGGTCCAGCTGTACCTCTTAGTGGACTTTCTCTCCCTGTGGCCTATTTCCTTCTAGTGAAAGCACAAGTAACCAGTCTGAGCCTTGGCAATGGCCTTGGTTGAACTGGGCTCAGATGCCTGCTCCCCACTGACCTCATATGCCTGCCAGCCTGAGTGGCTGACCTCGTACCTCTGGTACAGCTGGCCACAAAGCCAGAACGCTGGCCACAGCCTTGGGTGGAGGAAAGAGCATGGGGCTGGGAGGCAGGCGATCTGGGGGTCTGAACTGACCCCGACCATAACTAGCTTTGTGCCTTGGGCAGGCCCTTTTCCTTCTTTGGGCCTCAATTTTCCTCATCTGTGACATGGGAGGATAGGGCAAGATAAAAGTTTCCCACCTTTTTTCCTTGCTTTGGGTCCCTTTTATTATTTTTTTCAGTTCACTCACATAGAATGTAAATTTCGAAAGATTTTATTTTTGAAGTACAATGTGTTGATCAGTGCAGTGTAGCTATTGCATAGAACAGGCACCGAATAAATAATTGTGACAGAAATAATGAATTATTTCCCCATCAAAATGAATTCAGAACACATCTGCCAACCAAAACTTCTGATTAGTATGGGATAGCTGATTTTATGAGACTGAATTAAGTTATTGTTATGTTTTTGAAATACTGAAAATCGGTATTTCTGTTTTTCACAGGGGATCTCTGCAGTTTAGTGGCATAGATGAGAGCACAGCCTTTGGAGTCAAACAGCTTTCAACTTTGGCTAAGTTAATTCATCTAAGTGCCTCGTTTTCCTCGCCTGTAAAATGGGAATAGTGATGTACTTAACTCTTAGAATTGCTGTGGGGATTTGATGAGCTAGTAGACTTAAAATGCTTAAGACCTCGGGGCCCCACCTGG